ATTGCCTTAAAGCCTTAGCTTTTATCTCTCATTGATCTACTAGATCACACTTGAAAGCTTTTTAATTTGAATTCTCTCGTATACATGCTACTTCTCAGAAAAAGACCAACACCTCTTTCGACTTGAAATGAGGTTTTATAAATTCCTTTGAATATTTTTCATTGGAGGGAAACAAAATTCAAATAGGTAGCTAGTCTTTGTCAATTGTGTAATAACTAGTGATTTATGTATGTTAGGTTGTCCATGTCATTTTTGACTTGACTGTCGTTAAAACATGGCTTTTTGGCTTATATAGAGCCAAAAATAGAAAATCCATATTGATAAATATACCTAGGTAATTTTTTAAACCTTGGGTAGCATTCCCTTTAAGCACAGTACGGTATGGAATGTCCTTAATCAGTTCACTGACATGTGATTGTGCAAATTATATTATATTGTAACTTGACTATCCAGATGGTGAGCAAGTCACTTCTCGGATCATGAACTTTGCGAAGCTTCCAGTTGAGACTACTCCTTGGTCTTATAGCACTATTCAGACAACCATTACTATTCAAGTGTTTGACTGATAGTGAATCGGCCATTATCAAGTATTCAGTTGTTATTACTTCTAGTGAATCTATGGAATTACTGAACCATTCGGTTCTTTTAACCATATATATATATATGGTCGTTCCATTGTTCGTCCTTTGCATCTTCCGAGTCTTCAACTCTTCTTCTTTTGGGTCTTCAAGTTTGTCTTCTTACCATTCAGCCCTATTGACTTTTCCAATCATAGACTGTTTGGTTAGTCTACCTTGTTGATTGAACTACTGTCCTGTTATTTTAATTTCCAAAAAGTTCCTATGTCTAAAAATTTGAAAAGATTTGGGGACCTAATTTAATTTCTTAGTATGTTTATCAAAATCTATTACAAATGGTTTCTAACACAGGATTTCAAGTTCGACCCCCACATGGATCTACCTAAACTTGCCTTATCTACCGGTTATATTAGTTTAATTAGTTGATGTTTTTGTGTTCTAAATAGATTAATAAAATCATATTTTTTAGAACCATTTTCTCAAAAATTTGCATCAAACTCAGCCACATACTAATTAAGTATAGCTTTTGGGATCATAAAAAAGGCAAAATTTGTAGGTATAAAATGTAAACTATATTTTGATTATGCACAATGTTTTTTTTTTTTTTTTTTGAAAGGAACCAATGTGGTTGCATTTATAGATAACTCAAAATAGAGTCAGGCAGGACAACATCCCAGTACATAGACATAGTGTGATTAAAAGCGTAGATGATAAAGTATGCGCTAAATAATTCTGTGATCTAGGAATAAAATTAACTGAGCAGTAGTCAAACATAGCCATGTAATCTCTGCAGCCATCAAGAGCGTAGCCAATATAAGATCGAGCCTGGGCATTAGTTGAAGATAAATAGCCCTGAAGTATCTGGCAGTTCATGTATAGTCTAACTGACCGTTCCCCACGTGTTTTGAGCCACGACAAAGCTTCTTTGCACGCAAGAGCCTCGGCCATAAGTGGTGAGAAACTTCTCTGTAGGGGCGCACTGTAAGCCGATATGTATCCACCATAGTCGTCGAACAAAACTGCTCCAACTGTGACCGTCTTCGACTCCGGGCGATATCCTGCGTCGACTAAATTAAACACTGTCTCGGTCGTTTTGCTGCAGTTCCGGTGATGGGAATAGGTGGCTGCTGCGTGGGCGGCAGTGGGTGCTGTGTGTTGGTAGCGTCGGTGTTGCTGGGCGGCATTGGATCGGCAGAAAGACGCAGTTGCTGCCACGCCTGCATGGAAGCTACAGCCGCAGCAATCACCTTCTTCGGCATTGGTAGGCATGCATCCCAAACCGCTCCGTTCCGGGTCCTCCAAATATTGTATAGAATTGCAGCTGCAAATAATATTTCATTAGTGTCTAGAACATTTAGGATTGCTCTAAACCATACATAGAAAACATTTATCACAATGTGGGGAAGTGGATGGTTAGATTGAGCCCATATGAAATTTGCATATCCACACAATACTAATGAGTGCATAGTGTCCTCATGCATGATTTCACACATGGCACACATCGGATTAACATCCACCCTCTATATAAGCAAGTTGTTGGTAATGGGAAGGATATCATTTATACCTCTCCATAAAAAGGTATTCCACTTTGGTGGGATTGCCCAATGTAATTAAGTTAATACTTTAAACACACAAAATTTTCCTTTGTAAAATATTCTTAAATTGGCCAAATAGCAAAGATATTAAAAGTGAATCAAAGAAAAACGTTCGCAAGTTGTGACAATAAGACAAGTCTAACAAGGGCAGTAATAACATGCAAGTAGTAAGGCAAACCAATATATAGTAAGGAATGTAAGAAGTAAGAGAAACAAGCATTAAGGCAAGCCAGCAATAAGGCAAGTATTAAATAAGGCAATCACACTAAGAGATACTTAAAAGATATTCTCGAAATTAAACAAGATATATAAGAAGTATACGAGATACATATTTCATTGATAATTTTGGACGTTGGTACATTAACTAAGATATATCTATGCCAAAATAAAAAAAGTTGCATAAAAAGGAGTAAAGGTTAGAATATAATTTAAAAAATAAGTTGCAAGCAACCATTGGGTAAAAGTCCATCGCTGTTAGATCAAGACAAATTAAAATAATTCAGGTGACATACTTTAAATTTGTCTCTCTCCAACGGTAAAATTTGAATCAAAGTCTAAATAGGAGTAAAATATTGAAAAAATTAACACATAGAAATACAAACTACACAAGGAATACAAGATCTCAAAACTTTTAGCAAATTCTTCAAAGGTCGATCCGGATTACTCCAAGACTCTCAAAGCTTCAAGCATCATCAATCTCGCTCTCACTTTACCTTATTTCATTTCATATTCATACTTAGTTTTATTCGTCTTGAAAAAGTTCTTTTCTTAATCCATCTCTGTATCCACATGTGCTAAGATAATTTTTCGCTGCAGATCGCTTAAATATTTTGACTATCTAGTTACGATTTCAATATATATATTTAAAAAGTATTGTTGAGAAATTAACTCTTTTAGCCAATCTCAAAAAAAAAAAAAAAACAAAAAAAAAAAACAAAAAAAACAAAAAATCTTACAAAATATATATGTGAACAAGTTTTAAAATTATATTGTCTGTAACTCTCTAAATGAATTGACCAGGCTGCTCCCATCCATCTAGACTTATACTTAGGGGGTGTATTCAATCATGACTTTTGTAGAGTTTTAATTACTTTTATGAACTTTAAAAGTTTAGAGGTATTCAATTTAAACTTTTAGAGAGTCTTTAAAAGTTAGGCGATATTCAATCAAGATTTTTAAAGAGTCTTTAAAAGTCATGTGGTATTCGATTAAAACTTTTAAAGAGTCTTTAAAAGTCATGTGGTATTCAAAATGTTATGAACTTTTGTAGACTTTTTAATTTTAGGACTTCTGTAGACTTTTCCTTCTCAAATATATATAGTTGAAATCCAACCATCAACCCCAAGATTTCAAAAAAAAAAAATTCTAACAACTCTTGAATGTTTTCTATCTCTATTTAAACTATATTTTTCTCCCTATTTAAACTTTATAAACCTATCTAAATTTAATAAAATTATTTTTTTCTTCATTATCCTATATTTTCCTCATACCTAAAATCTACCATTTTTTTTCTCTCTCCTGAACTTTACAATCTTTCTCTAAAAATTTGAAATAATATTATTTTTACTTCATTATTGCTTGTTTATATTGATTTTTATTTTTTCTATGAATTTTTCATCTCTAACTTTCTCTAATTCTCCCTAAATACATGAACAATGTAAAATTTTCATCGTCAAATCTTAGTATATGTTTCATAATATTCATATAAATACTATGTATTTTGATTTTGATTTTTTTATGTTTATATTCATAATATATATTTTTCCTTTTTTTTTTTAAACAACAGGTTACTACGAATAGCGAACTACTGTTCGCAACAACAATTTGGAGTTGCAAACAGTAGCACCTTGTTGTTGTTCGCAGTCTCAAATTGCTATTGCAAATAATAGTTCTTTGCGTGATGCCTAGCAATATATGAAGTATAATTTTTATATATATTATTAATATTAGATTTTAATTTTTTTTATTTTATGGAACTTTCAATTATATTTTTAAATATTTTATTTCATCAATTCTTTTATTATAAATTTTATTGTTCAATATTGTTATGAATTTCTAATGAAATAGTTTTTTTTTTTTTTGTTGATGTTTATTAATAATATATATATAAGTAATTAACATATAAGTCTCAGCATACTATGGATAAAAATAATAATGTTGAGAATGTTGTTGTGAGTGAAGAACTATATAATAAGAAGAATTTTATGATATATTATAAATGTTTTGTAAGAAAATTATAAATGATAAGAATCAAAATATTATTGAAAGTTTGTAAGAATGTATTCAATTTAGAATTTTAATGACTTTGTAGACTTTTTAAAATAAAAAGTTGATAAAAGTCTATGAATGTGACTTTTATAGAGTCTTATAAAGTTTTAAAAAGTTTTGAACGACTCTATGAAAGTCAATCAAAGTTTATTAAAATCTATCATTTTAAAAGTTTTTAAAATTCTACAAAAGTCTTGAATACACCCCCCTTAAATCCAGACCATCAATTGTTTTATAAACTATTATTTTAAGGTCACATAAAGCTTATAGTTTATTTTTAATTCAAAATAAGTTATAAGAAGATAAGTTATAATTAAACTCTGGCAAATCAAACTTAGAATGCACTTACCTTGATGTTCAAGTTAAGTTGCCTGGCAGTGAACCTTGGAGGTTAACATGCTTCTATGGCTTCCCTAAAAGAACTAATCGCCAACAGTCTTGGGATCTTCTACGGTCTCTTAAGCTCAAGTCCAACTTACCTTGGTTGGTGGCTGGGGATTTCAACGACATTTTAACACCAGAAGAGAAGCGGGGGCTACACCCTCATCCTCACGCTCTTATGGAAGCCTTTAATCAAGCACTGGATGACTGTGGTTTATTTGACCTGGGGATGAGAGGAAGAAGATTCACCTGGGAAAAGGGGAGAGGAACAGCCAACTGGGTTGAGGAACGTTTGGACCGGGCTGTGGCCGGAGCTGACTGGTGTGACTTATTTCCACATGCATCAGTCCATAACCACTGGTGTGACTGGTCGGACCACTCTGCGATATTTGTCGAGATTCATGGGCTACGGCAAGCTAGGCAACGCCGTAGGTTTTTATTTGAGAATGCATGGCTGGCTGAAGCGGGTTGTAAGGATATTGTTCTAAATGCCTGGAACGTGACTGCAGGTGATTCTGTCCCCACTCGTCTGTCTTACTGCGGAGATTCTCTCTATGTTTGGGGAGGGGATTTTGCGAAGAAAACTGAAAGGGAAATTAGACAGTTGCATGGAAGACTTAATATGATTCGGGACAGACGTGATGAGCCATCTCTAGCTGAAGTTCGGCTCTTGGATACTAATATTAGAAACTTGAATGATCAACTTAACACTTATTGGCGGCAACGGGCCAAACAACACTGGTTGTTAGGGGGAGACAGAAATACGAAATACTTTCATGCCTATGCGTCTGCTAGACGAAAAAAGAATCTGATTACTAAACTTAAGGATGAGTCAAATCTTTGGGTGGAAGGAAATCACTTAATTCCCCTAGCTGCTCGTTATTTCCAGTCCATTTTCACGTCTAAAGGAGTTGATTTAGGGACCAGTTTAGATTCTTTTACTGCAAAGATTTCCCAGGAGGATAATCACTGCTTATTACGGGCATTCACTGTTGATGATGTTCGTGAGGCCTTGTTCTCAATGTCACCTGATAAATCACCGGGGCCTGATGGCTTTAATCCGGCCTTTTTCCAACACTTCTGGAGCGAAATTGGCCCCGATATCTCAGCCTTTATCTTGAACCTGTTGACTACTGGAGATGATTTCCCGGTTGGATTTAATGATGCTTATGTTACTCTAATCCCGAAGAAGAGTAGCCCTACAACAATGGGGGACTTGCGACCAATCGCCCTTTGCAACGTCATCTACAAGGTGTTGTCTAAAATGCTAGCTAATCGACTAAAGGAAGTTCTTGACAAGGTAATCTCCCCATCTCAAAGTGCTTTCTTACCTGGTCGCCTGATCACGGATAACGCTCTAATCGCTTCGGAGGTTATTCACTATCTAAATCGTAAAAGGCAGGGTATTGATGGGTGGTGTGCGCTGAAATTGGACGTTGCCAAGGCATATGACAAGATGGAATGGGAGTTTTTACAAGCAATTATGTCCAGGATGGGTTTTGATGATCGGTGGACTCAACTTATTATGAGGTGTGTGACTACGGCTCGGTATAAAATTAATGTGAATGGCATGCTCACCGATTATATTGTTCCTACATGTGGCCTACGTCAGGGGGACCCGTTGTCACCATATCTTTTTATTTTATGTGCTGAAGCTCTCTCCCATTTGCTATCAGAATCAGTGGATAAACGGATGATTACACCATGTATTGTTGCTAGAGGAGCCCCGGGAATCTCACACCTCTTCTTTGCCGATGACAGCTTGCTATTCTTTAAAGCAACTATGCAAGAGGCGGTGAATGTAAAGGAGTGCCTAGTAAGCTATGAACGCATGTCGGGACAAGCGGTTAATTTTAATAAATCTTGCATTCTATTTAGCCGCAACACTAATGATCTCTCGAGGATTGCAGTTGCTGGAGTATTCAATGTGGCACAAGTAAATAATATTGGTAGGTATCTTGGCTTACCAATGGGAGTAGGGAGGAATAAAAAGGAGGTTTTCAGCTACATTGAGTCCAAAGTCCTGCAACGTCTAAATGCTTGGAATAAAAAGGTTCTTTCAAGAGCTGGGAAAGAGATTCTGCTAAAGACTGTTGCTCAAGCCCTGCCAACTTATACAATGAGCATGTATCTACTCCCGAGCACTTTTTGTGAACGTCTTGAACGTCTTATGAATAAATTCTGGTGGGTATCTAATAATAATAATGGCGGAGGGATAAGGTGGCTAGCATGGAATAAAATGTGCTACCCAAAAGTACAGGGTGGTTTGGGTTTTAAGGGGTTAAGCAAATTTAACTTGGCTCTGTTGGCTAAGCAGGGATGGAGACTTTTAACCCAACCAAGCTCTTTGGCAGCTAGGATAATCAAAGCCCGTTATTATCCTCAATCTGATTTTTTGGAAGCAAAGATTGGTGCAAACCAGTCGTATAGTTGGAGGAGTGTGTTGGCTGGCCAGGAAGTTCTTAAACGAGGATGTGTTCGTCGGATTGGAAATGGACTGGAAACTAGTGTTTGGAAGCAGCCTTGGCTGCCAAATGCGCAGAATCCTTATGTTGAAACGCCGGCCAATAACAATGATCAACACATGAAAGTCAGTGCATTAATTGACTCTGACTCCAATGAATGGAATTCTCAGCTTGTCAACTCAGTTTTTTGTCCGAGAGATGCAGCTCTTATTCTTAAAATACCGATTGCTACTCAGTTCGAGGATATGTGGAGCTGGCAGGGAGATTTGAGAGGCCAGTATTCAGTGAAGCTTGGCTATAAACTCCTTGCCGATCAGATTGGTTCTAGTAATTTGATTCATCCATGTTGGAAGAATATTTGGCGTGCGAAGGTACCACCTTGCGTGAAAAACTTCCTGTGGCGCTGTCTCCAGGGAGTTATTCCTACGTTGGTTGCCCTGCAGAGTAGAGGAGTGAAGATTGAAGTGATATGCCCGTTATGTAGACAATCACCGGAAACGCTGCATCACATATTATGTAAATGTTCCGAGACCATCCCACTCTGGCAGAACTTAGCAGTCACCTTGCCGGATCTTTCTGAAGATTTTGCCGCCTGGTTTATAGGTTGCTTATCCAATCCTGACACTTCCGTTACGCTGAAATGTATTGCTATCTGGTGGAGTATCTGGCAAGGGAGAAATGCGGTAGTTTGGAGTCGTAAGGTTCGGCAGCCAGCGCAAGTGCATGCTAAAGTTGCTCGGCTTCTACATGAGTGGGCTCAGATGGCGGAATTCGAGGTTGGTGGTGTTGACGGACAACCCTCCGAGCATACGGATCAAGGCTTGTCTATTGATAGTTTGCATATCTTCGTAGATGCCGCTGTTTTCCCAGAAAGTCATGAGGCTAGCTATGGAATTTTTATTAAATATTCAAACGGGGTGTTTTTTGGAGCGGGCCATGGCCCTATGAACTGTCTAGATGATGCTCACCTCGCGGAATCTATGGCGATTAAGGAAGCTTTGTTGTGGGCTAAGGATTTGAATCTTACAAAGGTTATAGTGTTTTCGGATTGCCAGACGGTATGCAATTTCTTTAAGAGCTCTTTGCCGGACTTTACTTACACGGGTTGTATTTTGAACAAGTGCCGGGAAATTCAACGAGACTTTGATTCTATGTCTCTTTGTTTTGTGCCTCGATCACTGAACATAGTCGCCCATACCTTAGCTAGGGCTGCTCGTTCGTATTCTGGTCCTCTTACTTATTTCAATTCTACTCCGCAATGTATTGAACATTTGATTTAATGAAGTTTGTTCCCTTTGGTTTTCAAAAAAAAAAAAAAAAAAAAAAAAAAAAAAAAAAAAAAAACTTAGAATGCACTTGGGTATATGTGTACGTGTGCACACATAAACAAATATAGTAAATCTAACCAAACATACACAAAGTAGTTTTCTTATAATTTTGTTATGAAAGAGTAAATAACAGGCCAGAGTGATTAGGCTTTCAGTAGACATTTGGGAAATTATTTTAAGATAGGAATTTATTGTACATATAACATATATATATGTATAGTGAGTTTCACTTCACTTCTCTGATGCGTCTGAAAGATTTTAGGGTTGGAAAAGAGTTCAATCGTCGAGACCCTTGAGTTCCCAGCTGTCCATCATCTTCTCATGATGATCATAGGCCATGGGACGACGCATATGGGGGGGAGTAACAATGTGAGTTTCAGTTCCATAGCCACCACTCATCATCTTATCCATAGAGAACTTATTATGCCCATACCCATCTCTATACTTGCCTTCATTGAACTTATGCCCATAGACATCTTTGTCATGGCTTTCGTAACCGCCATAGCCATCTTGGTACCTTTCCTTGAGTTTGAAACCCTCGTTGAACCTCTCCTTGTTGTCGTAGTGACCATAGCCGCCATCCTGGTGCTTCTCCGTCTTGAAGCCCTCGTTGAACTTCTCCTTGGTTTCGTAGTACTTGTCTTTGTTATGGTGGTCATAGTGGCCACCATAGCCGTCCTGGTACTTCTCGTACTTCTCCTTGACGCTGAATTCTTCGTAGAACTTGTCCCTGCCTCCGTGATACTTGTCTTTGTTGTGGAGGTCAAAGTGGCCGCCAGAGTAGCCACCACCCGGTGCCATGGCGACGTGGCACTGGGACGGCTGAGGGGAAGAAAGCATGTAGTTGGTATTATGGCTAGGGTTAGGGTTAGGTTTTGGCCTCATCATTTGCATGCTTGAGTAGTTGTAGTTGTTTTGGGAATAGTAATCTTCCTCTTCATGAGAGTAGTTGTGTTGGTGCTTGTAGCCAACAGCAGGGTAACTCATGTCACTTTGGAGAACCATTTTTTTTCTTGGTTTGATGGAAGTGAAAAGATAGATAGATGTTTGGGTTTTGTTGTGTTGGTGAAAATTTGAGTTTGGTTTTTGGTGAATTTATAGGGTTGCAATTCGATTCCAAAATGATAAGAAAGACAGGTTGATTCTTGCACAAAATTATTCTGCACTATATTATTAATGGTGATAAAATAAACACATAATCAAATTGCTTTTATTGGATTCCCAATGAATTGAAATTGCCACTTGTGGGAGGAATCTGGTTATCAATATCAACATACCAGCATCTGCCATGTGATGCCCAAGATAGGGTCTATTCCTTTTGGATGTGCATGATGGAGGAGTTTGAAAACAAGGTAAATAGAGTAGAAAATAATTGAAGTAAATCTAATATTTTTATTATAAATTATTAGAATATATATTATTAATTATACAAAATAATTTGAATACAAAATACATTATAGAGTAAATTCAACTAAAGGTCATATGAGTCTGAGGCATTATTAACTTTGATCATAAACTTAAAAGCCTATTACAATAAATACTCCAACTTCTTTAAAGTCCAAAGCCAGCTAATAGAGTAAGTTGCTCAAACTCAAAGGACTATTGGTGCCTTGGTGGTAGCTTCAGAAAAGTTGGAGGACTTGTTATGGTAAGCTAGTAAGTTGAGGACCAAAGCTAATAGTGAGGTTAGTGCCTCAAAGTCCCAAACTCAAATAAAGGACGTTTAATGAAATTTACTCTACATTATAAATTAAAATATAATGTTGATTATGTTTTTTTTTTTTTAAATTAAACCAACAAGAAAACCAAATTTAATTATAATCAGAGTTGTTACATAAGAGTTCACCGACATAACGAGGGATAAAATCAAACAACTCAATTCTATCATCCACTATACAAGTAAGAGGTCTTTTGGCTAGGTAACATAATGTTGATTATGTTAAGAACCCAATATAACGGAAAATTATGATGTGCATCCGTATGCACCATGCATGGTGCATACGGATGCAAAAACGACGTCGTTTTATTAAAAATGCGTGTCTCCCCTTTAAAAAAAAAAATCAGGTTTGATTCCCAGCAACAATATATGAACTAAAATTTCATAATCGATGAACTATAATTTCATAATCGATGAACTATAATTCCATAATCGATGAACTATAATTCCAGAATCTAATCTATGAACTAAAAATTCCAGAATGAATGAACTAAAATTCCAGAATCTATGAACTAAAATTTCAAAATCGATGAACTACAATTCCAGAATCGATGAACTATAATTCCAAAATCAATGAACTAAAATTCCAGAATGAGTGAACAACATAATGTTGTTGCTGGGAATCGAACCTGAATTTTTTTTTTAAGGGAAGACGCGCGTTTTTAATAAAACGACGTCATTTTTGCATCCATGGTGCATACGGATGCACAACATAACTACTCCAATATAACTTGAGGCCAGGTCCATATGGGCTCAATTACCTCTTTTATAGAGATTTAATTTTCTAGGGTTATATCTTTTAACTATATATAGATCTCCATCCCTCACTGTAATTTGTAGACATAGTTGCATACTATTATATTCTCACTTACTGAAATATAGATTAATAAAATATTTCTTACATATATATATATATATATATATATATATATATATATATATAATTGAGATGATCTTAATTTCACCGAACTAATTCTAAGTCCATCGGATCCCGCCGCTAGAGAGGTAAATCACGAGGCCTTCACGTGCGCACAAGTGATCCAATCTAGACTTTCAAGCATCCTTGGACCTTTTTCCCATCATGCTTCCAATGGGATATGATGCATCCTTAAGCCTTTTTTCCATACATATGACATTTAAGTCACACGACGAACCAATTACGCTAAGTCTCGAGTGGTACTTTTAATAAAACCCTCAATCATTGTGAACCCCAGTGAACGACTGAAATCAATCCTCACTTTTTATAGGTGGACCCAATGTTGCAAAACACGTTAGGCGCCCCCTAGGCGCCGATTTTTTATTTTTTTTATTTTTAACTTTTTTAAAAAAAAAAATTAAAAATTAAAAATTATCAAAATTCACGTATAAAACATAAGGTTCACATAGTTATTTCTTACAAACTATTTACATAAGTAGTTATAAAATTGTTCAAAAGATTGTTTAAACCCTCTAAATACATTTAAAAAAAAAATTAAGAGCTAAAGAAGCATTTTTTTGAGAAATTAGTGGGGCAAAAAAATTGTCCAAAACAGACAACCGATTCAAAAGTTATGCCTCGACAAAGTTTTAAACCCTAAACCTAAAAAAAATAAAAAATAAAAAATAATCGGCCGAACCGACCAGCTAGACAATTTAGGTGGCCACCGGTCGCGGAGGAGGTCGATTCCAGCCTTCCTCGCGGCAGCCGGGGGCCGCCTAGCACCTAGACGCGATTTTTGCAACATTGGGTGGACCTGTTTTCATTTAATTTTACCCCATGGGTAAGATCAACAACCAACTTAGACAATTAGAAATGTAGGGAGTAGAGATCATATTTGAGAGAATACGAGGGCCACCTTTTAAAAACATTGGATTGAAGAGAATCAACAACCAACGTAGACAATTAGAAATGGCAATCCATAGGAACCCAATCCTCTTGTTGATAGTCTCCTGTTTAATGATTAAGTTCAACGTATTATTTTGACTTAATACATAACGAACATTAAATTTTAAACTTTAACAAGTTGAGTCAAATCCCCCATTCACGCTGTCCTCCACTTATTATTTGAGGAAATAATGATAATTGTGTATTGTTTTGGAGAATAAAATTCTTATCCCATTTTAAAATTATTTTTTAAATGAAAGAAAGAAAAAAAAAATTTTCCAATTTTTATCAATTAAATTAAAATGTGTTAAGAGTAAAACATAAAGGAAAAAAGTAGAAGTTAAAACTAGACAAAAACTATACATTAAAACAAACTGTCTTATAATATTATATTTAACCGTGAAAAAATTGGTGCAAAAAACATTACCTAGTGTTATTATCACTTACAAAAGGAAACCCAAACACTAATCTTGAAGAAAAAAGTAGATAAAAATTGGGAAGGGCATAAAAATGGTGATCAAATTACTACATAATAATAATAATAGCCTAATCATCCAGTTGAATGAACACCAGAAAACAGATTCAAACCAACCAAAAGTTGTCACACAAGTGATATATATAGTTCCCCCAAGAGCCATAATCTGTATATATGGCCACAGCAAATGAACATCATAACACTCTGTAATGGTCATCCCTCTTACAAATTGTGTACAAAATTTTCGCTTCCAAGAACCCGCCAAAGCGTTTTTGTATCGTCCATGGAATGAGGTTGCAGTCGGTAGATTCGGGGGCAGAGATGTCCACGCAAAATAATGCTTCGCTAGTAGCAGTGCGAGCTGCTGCACCTATGAACTTGACGGGATAAAGCTTTGGGCTCAGCTTTCGGATACGTTGTTTTCTCTCATACAGTTCCCGGGCAATAGGAATTTATACTTGTGGGCGTTCTCGAGGAGGTAGGATGGGAGATGAACGGCGGAGTATGAATGGGGTATGGGTCCCATTTTCCCGATGATTTCCCGGAATGTGTACTCCTCGGGGAGCATATCGAACAGGTCGGCCCCTTTGCATATTACTCTCTGGATTCGTTTCGGGTTGAGGAAGTGAGAGAATCTCACTCTGTCGAAATGGCTGTAAGCTTTCATCTTGAAGATGAATTCGTTGATTTGGCGGAAGCAGAAGCTACAGTGCCACCCGGCATCCGCCAAGATGTCATCCGACTGTCGATAATGAGCGTACCTCGTCTTCCCGGATTGATATCGGTGGACCGAAGCTCTCCAGCTATTGTTATCGACGAGGAACTCGAAGGAATAGAGATAGTTCTTCAACCGGAGATGCAGGACGGGAGGTATGTCATCGCACCACCTCAAGAGATTCATAGTGTGTCTACTAGGAATCTCATCGACATCCGACATCAGCAATAAGTCATCATCCTGGATCCCGGCCTGTTTGAGAAGATAGTCCAACGCTAACCGTTGATAAGCCTCTTCCACGAACGGATTTTCGCCCTTCCTAAACCGGCCCGGAACTTGCCCGTAAGTTAACCGTGGCTCGACGAAATCGAACTTCTCCCGGTTTTTAGCGAAATGTAGGGGCTTTGGCAGTCCGGTGAAAGTCGAATTCGATTCGAGTAAAACAAACTCCGTCACATACGGGTGCAGCTCCTTCCATCTTATCGTAAGAATGTCCACCTCGTTATTGAACAACACCGCATCAAAGACACGCCTCGGGTACTCCCGGATTCCCCAGCCGTGAAGTTTGCAGAGATTCTCCATAGGCACATCCTCGTGATAATAATGCGGGATTTCGTGGAAGGGCTTTGGCGGCTTTTCCCATAACGGCCTCAGAAAATATGTTATTTTCTGCCCGTGGACATATATACCAAATAAACTAATCGGTACCATAACGAAAAGGAAGATGTATGTTTTCAAGTCCAAGCCTCGCAGAATACACTTGATTCTTGACATGCTTAATCCTCGACCTGTATACTGCAGAGATAACAATGACAACATTAAAATTTAATCAAGAATAACAACAGAACAACAAAAGCCATGTCTCAATCCCAAGTTCTCAACTAGGATTCAAGAAACAAACAAACATATACATACATCTAAGAACACTTTCCGGGAAATGAACACACAAACTCGGGAAACAACTGACTGCTTCTCCCGCAATTTTGATTCTCAAAGAGCGGAGAGAATTTGTTCAGTTTATGCATCCAATCCATCCATACCGACATTAATGATTTACATACAGACCCCCAAATAACGATATTCTCATCATCTTCTAAGGTTGATCAAATAGTTCTGCAGAGAAGGATGCTTAAACTATGGAGTTGTGGCTAACAGGATCATAGAATGAACCCATGCTTGCTAAGAAAATTACCTTAATTACTCATTAAACCTTGTTATCTCAAGAACAATTAACCTAAGGCAATAAGCCCCTTTCCTAAATGTAAACAGAAATTAGAATCTTTAACAAATAAATCTGTTGTTAATTGTACCAAGATTCAAACCTAAAACTACATGAACTTCTATTTAAGATTAAAACCCCAAGAACAACTAATACCCAGCAAGACAAAAAGATCTAAAAACTAAGAAATTGAAACTTGGAATTCTTCTCACATTCCTTCTACATAGACAACTGCAAACACTATAATTAACAAGAATTAAGCAATTTGAAGAGGAAAGAAAGAAAATTTACCTCACTACACAAATCGTCCTTCTTCTTAGAGCAATACCCAGATCCCCCTTCTCCCACCATGTTTGCTTTCTCCCAAAATCTAGTAATACTCCACATCTCAGTCTCTCTCTACTATGTAAACTCTCCCTCAATTTCACAGATCAAACCCAAATCGACCCACTGTCAGAATCGAAACCAAACCCGCAATTCAATAGTTGAGAGAACCGGAAGAGTGGGCAAACCTCGGAACACACGAACGGCGCAGAACAAAAAATTATTCTTTAAATAAGAAAAAATAAAAGAATAGATAACAAAAACGATGTTTATCGGACGGAGCCTCTCTGGTGAACGGGTGGCAATCGTAAAGATTAAAGAAGAATCGAAGAATACAAGGAAGCCGTTGTGGTTTGTCGTCTATCTACCCCACCCACACACATCAATAGTTGTACCAAGTATTTATAAGTATTTATAAATTTTGAAAACTGGGCAAGAATCCATAGCTTTTTTGCAGGAGGCCCCCTCCTCCTCTCCCTATCGAATTCTTGCTGCTAAACGCGTCATGCCGTCAATTGACCGCTTCAAGAGTCAACACGAGTTTTTGAGTGTGGTATAGAGACGGCACCGTTGGCTACGTCCTACACACGATTAAGTAATTATTAGGCGAATTACATCATAAGACATGTTCCATATTGTATTATTATGGACAATGATCTATTATTATTAGTGTAAACTATTATTATAACAATATTAATGGGATGACAGGTAAATAGCTTGTTAGCTGATTGGGTTAATGGTTTAATTAGTTGATAACATTTTGGTAAATAACTTATTACATACAAAGTGACTTTTTTAAAAAGCTGATCGAAAAAGTTGCTTTGAGTAGCTTTTTTAATTTTAGTGTTTTGGAGAATTAAGGACCTTTATAGTGGATTTTCAAAAAAAAAAAAAAAAAGGACCTTTATAGTGGAAGAAGAACTATTTTAGTGGTAGTTTTAAAGAGAGAAAATATCAATTTTGGTCCCATGAGTATTAGTAAAATCACAGTTTTGGTTCACATGTTTAATTCCTACCAATTTTCATCCACGACTATTGTTTTAGTACCAATTTTTATCCATGACTATTGTTTTAGTGCCAAAATTCATTACGTCGGTCACTCCGTTTAAGACATGCCGAAATATGAAATTATTAAGGGTATTTTTGTCCTTTTTAAATTAAGATCTCAATTTGTGCATGAAATCCATGAATAAAGGAATTTAAGCTCCAAGATCTATCCCAATTCGCAATTCTCCTCCTCAAATTAAGGTAGAATGAAGAGGAGAACCCTAAAAAGAAAAGATTAAATTAAATTTTTGTAAAAAAAAAAAAAAAATTAACTTGATTTACCTTATAAAATAAATCATGGTCCATGATATAACAACCCTTAGCTGCGTTAGGCCATCGCAATAATAGACATTATTAACCCGCATGGGCAGCTCAACTGGTTATAGAGGTGAAATTTTGGAAGAATGACCAGGGATCGAGTATCACCAGCGGCAAAGTGAGAGAGGGTTCCTTGTGCGCAGTGAACACAACGGCAGTGTGAGAGCAATCTCAAGGAAATATCATTGAGATAGAATAGTAGAAGGAGAGTATATTAAGAATTTGTAAACAAATAATTAATTACTGTCACACAATAGAGCCTTAGCATCCCCAATTCCTTCTAAACTATTTTGATTAAATGCGCTTTGAATAAAGCCCAGATTAAATTAATTAATAAAGCAAAATTTTCTTCTAAATTATTACTGATTACCTAACTCCTACATGAAACTAATTAACTGCTTAACTAATTACTTCCTGACTAATCTTAGTTTTCTGGTTTTAGTATGGTGTTGATCTGACTTGAACCCAAGGCTGGATGGACTATTCCTGATGAGTGATGAATGACTAATCTTCAATTCATTGTTGGCCGACACCATCCAGTTTAGATAAACAACCTGAAAGTTGTGTTCCAAGAAATCCTAACTCTAAACCTAAACACGTACCAACATTATCCAATTCAACTGTGCACCACAAAACGTGTTTTATATATATGTGGCTATTTGACCTATTTTAAGCAATTTGCTATTTCCTAGCAAACTAATTTTTCTATGGATAATGATATTCTGTGGTATCACTTTTATGTTTTGTTTTTTCTTTTTTCTTTTTCATTGTCTCACGTATATGCAAGGGTCCACACTTACCCTAACGGCCTATCCCAAGCAAAATGTTTTATCTAAGTCTCAATCAATGTTATATCTTTAATTTATGTCCTTCTATTTGTATACTAATTAATATATACGTTTTACTTTAAACGTTGTACACTTCAATTTTCTTAGACAAAATTGTCCTTACTACATTCTTGTTAGACAAAACTATTCTTATACCGTTATAACACGTTACTTTTTAATTCTAACATTGATAACTCCATTATTATCACCATATGCTTATATCTATCATATCTTTTTCCTATTTTTTAATTATCATTTTATTAAAATTATTATATAATTAATTGAGTTAACACCCAATATAGTCCTCAACTATAGTGGTTTTACTCAATTTAGTCTTAAATGATTTTTTTTACTCAATTTAGTCCTCGACTTTGATGGTTTTACACAATTTAGTTATTTGTTAAAAATTCTGTTAGTTGACTGTTAGAAATAAGGTCCTAATGGTAATTTCTCATCCTTCATCACATTTTGGGATGATTCCTTCTTCTTCCCTTTATTAAGATCCACGCAGAAATGCAAATTTGTACCCAAATCAGCTTCAACCCTAAATTTTTTTTAAAAAAAAATTATAGGCAAATATTTATTTATTTAGTGTTGAAGTTGATTTAGGTACGAAGATTTTCATTTCTGCGTGGATATTAATAAAGGAGAGAAGAAGGAATCATTCCAAAATGGGATGAATGATGAAAAATTATCATTAGGACCATATTTCTAATAGCAAACTAACAGAATTTTTAACAAATGACTAAATTGTGTAAAATCATCAAAGTCGAGTAATAAATTGAGCACAAAAACTCATTTAGGACTAAATTGAGTAAAACCGCTATACTCGAGGACTATATTAGGTATTAACTCATAATTAATTTAATATTTGATTATATTTTAATTATATTAGATACAGAATCTGAAGGTTATTTTTGGACCAGAATCGACAATGCAAGGTAGACTCTGGTCCATGGTATAATTCCCTCCCTCCTCCCCAACTCCCTTTCTCCCCAAATTTTAAAAAAATATGTATGTATATATATAATATAATATGTATAAAAATGTTTTATGTCCCCCTTTTAATTTAAAAAAAAATAATTATTATGTATATATTAAATGAGTCCAAAGCATATATTAAATGGTAATTTATTGAGCATTTTTATTATTTATATTTACACTTTTAGGATAAACATTTGCTAGTTTAAAAGATTGATATCGAAATTGAAAAAATTAACATTGATTCTTGTATTTATGATATTGATACTCCAGGACAATGTGGTTTAATGGTACTCGAGTTGAACTTCTATTTGGAAGATTAGGAGTTCAAGCCTCAGTGGAGGCGTTATTGGTTCTGTGTGTTGTATATGAACAGATACTTAACTTTCAAAAAGAAAATGATATTGATTTTCATTCATATTCAAATTAGAGAATATTTAGTTAATCTAAAAACATAATAAGTCTCAATCAATGTTATATTCTTAATTTATGTCCCTCTTTCTGTATGCAAATAAATGTGTACATTTTACTTTAAATATTTTACATTTTAATGTTATTAGACAAAATTACCATTATCGTTATAACACCGTTAATTTTTAATTCTAATATTGATAACACATAATTATTATCATACGCCTATATCTATCATATCTTTTTTCCTATTTTTAATTATCATTTTATTAAAATCATTAAAATATTGTACATTTTAATGTTATTAGACAAAACTACCATTACCGTTATAACACCGTTAGTTTTTAATTCTAATATTGATAACACATAATTATTACCATACACCTATATCTATCATATCTTTTTCCTATTTTTAATTATCATTTTATTAAAATCATTATATAATTAATTTAATGCTTAATTATATTTTAATTAAATTTCTATGAATGATAAATTATGTATGTGTGTGTACAAAATACGTATATTATTTGTGTATATATAATTCAAATTATAATTTTTTATTATTTGTATTTATCAATATTTTAATATTGGGCATGAATTTTCGCGCATCGCGCGTACAAAATGCTAGTCCGTAAAATAAACATCAATTAATTACATAACTTTTACTTGATGGCAAAATCTCTTATCAGATTGTCTTACGGATCCTCATTTGTGACTCATGAGACATGTCGAGTTTTCATAAGTATTACACTTTCTTTCATAAGTATTACTTCCTATGTCTCATTTTACATTACCAGTTTACTATTTATTGGTCAAACAAACTATTTTTTCTTTGTTTATTTTCTTTAGTATTTTTAATTATTTTTAAATTTATTTTTTGTGTGTTAAATAGTACTTTTAAAGTATTTTTTTTAAATATATAAATTTTATAAACTAATATTAAACTTAACATTATGAAAAAATGAATTAAAATTAACTTTACTCAATCCTCGGCTCCTGGCTAATCGAACCAGACGCAAAATGGGACATAGAGAGTACAAATTTTTCATAAGTAACTCGTTAACCCTTAATATTATATTTTGATTTAAAAGTATTAATTTTTTCATAATAAAATCACATTTTTCCTCATAAGTATTACGATTTCTCTCATAAGTAACAACCAATCAAATTATCCATGATTGGCATTAGATTTTTTCTTATATGTAACTCTTCAACCTTAAATATTACAGAGTACATTTTAATTCAAAAGTATTACATTTTTCCTAAAAAGTATTATACTTTCTTTATAAATAACAAACAATTTATTCCTGACTAGTATTACATTTTCCAACATAAATATTACATTTCTATTTTGACGTAACCCGTTACACATATAAGGATTCGTGAAACGGGCTCACATGAGACTCACTCGGTCACCTTTGATAAGAGAGCGACAATTAAGCTAGATTTAAATAAATATAATTTTTTTATTATTGAATATATTTTGTGTTATATGATAAATTCTAAAGTAACAATCCGCATTGTATTTGTATCATTATACCTAATACAATCATTAGTTACGGTTGATAGTAATATATCAATTGACATTTGAAAAATTTTCACTAGTTTTCGCCCTCAACCTACTTTCATGGCCAATTATAATATGGACCATGGTCATGGTCCCACCTTATAAGGTCGATCATTAATATAAGGTACATTTTTAAAATATTAAAGGTACATTATTTATGTATAAAAATTCATGTTTATTATTTTATAGTATTCCAAATAATGAACATATAGTATTCAAATAATGTATTTTAAATAATAAATATTTAGTATATAAATA